GGCAACTTCCTTTCCTTTGGCAAAATGGGTCAAAAGAAGGACTTGACAGGCTCAGAAAAGTCAAAAATAGTGAGATATCTTGCAGAGGGATGCAGCACTCTTAAAATTGCAAAGCTTCTGAAGCGTGATCATCGAACAATCAAGCGTTTCATTCAAAATAGTCAACAGGGTCGCAAGAAGCATGTGGAAAAACCAAGGCGCAAAATAACTGCCCATGAACTGAGAAAAGTCAAGCGTGCAGCTGCCACGATGCCACTTGCCACCAGTTTGGCCATATTTCAGAGCTGCAACATCACTGGAGTGCCCAAAAGCACAAGGTGTGCAATACTCAGAGACATGGCCAAGGTAAGAAAGGCTGAAAGACGACCACCACTGAACAAGACACACAAGCTGAAACGTCAAGACTGGGCCAAGAAATATCTCAAGATTTTTCTAAGGTTTTATGGACTGATGAAATGAGAGTGAGTCTTGATGGGCCAGATGGATGGGCCCGTGGCTGGATTGGTAAAGGGCAGAGAGCTCCAGTCCGACTCAGGCGCCAGCAAGGTGGAGGTGGAGTACTGGTTTGGGCTGGTATCATCAAAGATGAGCTTGTGGGGCCTTTTCGGGTTGAGGATGGAGTCAAGCTCAACTCCCAGTCCTACTGCCAGTTCCTGGAAGACACCTTCTTCAGGCAGTGGTACAGGAAGAAGTCTGCATCCTTCAAGAAAAACATGATTTTCATGCAGGACAATGCTCCATCACACGCGTCCAAGTACTCCATAGCGTGGCTGGCAAGAAAGGGTATAAAAGAAGAAAATCTAATGACATAGCCTCCTTGTTCACCTGATCTGAACCCATTGAGAACCTGTGGTCCATCATCAAATGTGAGATTTACAAGGAGGGAAAACAGTACACCTCTCTGAACAGTGTCTGGGAGGCTGTGGTTGCTGCTGCACGCAATGTTGATGGTGAACAGATCAAACACTGACAGAATCCATGGATGGCAGGCTTTTGAGTGTCCTTGCAAAGAAAGGTGGCTATATTGGTCACTGATTTGTTTTTGTTTTGTTTTTGAATGTCAGAAATGTATATTTGTGAATGTTGAGATATTATATTGGTTTCACTGGTAATAATAAATAATTGAAATGGGTATATATTTGTTTTTTGTTAAGTTGCCTAATAATTATGCACAGTAATAGTCACCTGCACACACAGATATCCCCCTAACATAGCTATAACTAAAAACAAACTAAAAACTATAGATAAAGGATTATATATACACTACAAAAAACGTATAGCTGGAAGAATTCCTTGGTGTACCTCACAGACACCCAAGAAACAATGTAAAAGAGCAAAAAAGTGGAAAACACCCAGAATACGTGTAAATTAATATATAAAATATACAACAACCTGATGGAAAATGTAATCCATATGAATTCTGTATAAGAATCAGAAATCTAACATAGCGTAATACAATTAAAAAACTTTAGAATATATAAATATAGGTGATTGTAGATACACTCACAAACACACGTAGAATAAGGCTTCTCGCCCACTCAGGGGCAGTATATGATGCGATGATTAAACTGGAAAATCCTCTCATAGAACATATGGAAATAAAAGAAATCACAGATAGTGAAGTTTGTTATTAAAATACAAAATCACAATTTATTGGTCACACTTACATGTGTGCAAATCACAAAGAGCGTATCTGTCAATAACCTGGAACTCCATGCAGTGTGGTCATCAATCCAAAATAGGAAATAGCAGGAGGGGTTATCAAAGAGCGGCCAAAATACAAATACATACAATTAAAAAACAATATAAAATGGCAATATGAACATTGAGTCCATATATAAAAATCCAACGCGTTTCGTCCTGTCACAGTAAAGGACTTCTTCAGGGCACTTCTGTAATGCTTTTCCTCCAGTTTAAATACCGGTAAAAATTTCCATTTGATTCCGTGCATCTGTAGTTCGGCGTGCGTTCCAACCGTGGAACGCACAGAGACGCGGGAATATGTCGACATTCAAAGAATCAGTTCCGTATTCTGTTGCGCATGCGTGCACAAAGCGCGCATGCACATACTAAAGAAGAGATCGAGACCTAAACGGAATATATAACAAGAAGGCAAAAAGACAACCTCAGATATCTGCACATAAAGAGCCAATCCTGGTGGACTGTGTTGAAGGATGCAGACAAAAATCTTACACATACATGTATAAGGAAAAATAAAAAATGAGAAATGAAAAAAATGAGAAATGAAAAATAAGCATATAAATAAAATTATTGGACAACCTCATATAAAATGATAAATAAATAAATATATAATAGAAATAAAAATAAAAATAAATAAAAATAAAATAAAATAAAAAATAAAAAATAAAAAATAAAAAATAAAAAATAAATAATAAATAAAAATATAAATAAATGAAAAAAAGGAATAGAAAAAATGAAAAAAATATATAAAAAAATATATAAAAAAATATATAAAAAATATATAAAATGTGGTTGCTGCTGCACGCAATGTTGATGGTGAACAGATCAAAACACTGACAGAATCCATGGATGGCAGGCTTTTGAGTGTCCTTGCAAAGAAAGGTGGCTATATTGGTCACTGATTTGTTTTGTTTTGTTTTTGAATGTCAGAAATGTATATTTGTGAATGTTGAGATGTTATATTGGTTTCACTGGTAATAATAAATAATTGAAATGGGTATATATTTGTTTTTTGTTAAGTTGCCTAATAATTATGCACAGTAATAGTCACCTGCACACACAGATATCCCCCTAACATAGCTATAACTAAAAACAAACTAAAAACTACTTCCAAAAATATTCAGCTTTGATATTAATGAGTTTTTTGGGTTCATTGAGAACATGGTTGTTGTTCAATAATAAAATTAATCCTCAAAAATACAACTTGCCTAATAATTCTGCACTCCCTGTAATGGATTAATCACTTCTTTAAAAAAAGGATTATCTGAGAATATTCTTGACAAAATTGCTGCCAAAGACCTATCTAAGGGGTTAAATGACTTTATTACTTATGTGATGCAGATCGCTAATAGACTCAGGACCAGGGAAACTCTGGTTTCAGAGTCAGGCCAGCCACCCGAATCTGATCCAGCACTTTCCCTACATGCTGCCTGGAGATTTTCCTTAACCATCTGTGTCAGCTGCTCCATGCGGTCCTTGAGCTGCACTACATATGATTTGACGGGGGCTCCCTCTTGTTCTGTGGTTACCTCCCAGTGCTCCCTAATGAGATCCAGGGGACCTCGCACACTTTGCCCATATAGTAGCTCGAAGGGAGAGAACCCAGTGGACTCCTGTGGCACCTCTCAGCTTTGCTTTGGGGTGGTCTCCCCTCTTCCCTACCCTGGCAAACATCGCAGGTCCGGCAATAGTGTTGCACATCTGTGGAGAACCCCGGCCAAAAGAAGTGCTGGGTTACTCAATGGGATGTGTGAGTCATTCCCAAGTTTCCTGCTAATGTGATGTCATGCCCAATTCGGAGAAACTCCCGTCGGTATTTCCTTGGGACTACCAACTGGCGCTTCTGCGAAGGGGCGACTCCATGACGACGGGTTTCAGACACCCAGTATAACTTGTCTTGTTCCCATACATACTTTTCCCCTTCTGACCCTGGCTGACCTGTCTCTGCCCTAAGATGATACTTATTGAGGGAGGGGTAGGCCCTAATCTCGATACCAAACTCTTCTGGGGTATCCCAGGCTAGGGTCGTCGTGGCTAGGGTTTTTGTCAAGGGGTCGGTAGATCTTACCTGGGTCTCCACGGCCGGTGAGTTTTGCTCAGTTGTGCGAGCTTGGGCACGGGTTGGTGACGAGATGGGTGGCTGCGGTAGGAGCATAGGCGGATGTGAGGGGCCCAAGGTCATTTCCTAACAGTACTTCGACTGGAAGATTGTACATGATTCCCACATGCACTGTACCAGATCCGGCTCCCCAGTTTAGATGAACCCGGGCAGTAGGAATTCGATAGATAGCTCCTCCGGCTACTCGGGAGGCGGCAGTCTTTCCAGTGTGGTCAAGTGTCACTGTAGGAGGGTTAACGTGGCCCCAGTGTCTTGCAGGCCCTGGGCCGGTTGCCCATTGACCATGACCTCTTGGTGCTGCTGTTGCCTGTTGTCCTGAGCGGCCGCTTTGATGGGGTCAGCCTCATATAGGACCCCTAGGTATTCCTCAGCCTCAGATTCAGCTTCCAGACAGTGGGCAGCTGGTGTAGGTCGGGGCCAGGTTGGTGGTCGCACCCAGTTGGACCTGGGTGGTTCCAGGGGGCAGTTTTTACGGATATGCCCCAGTTGTTGGCATCCACGGCACCTTATCCTGGAATGGTTCTGCTGAAAGCTGGGAGGTCCAGAATAACGAGCAGGGGCTGGAGGGGCTGGGGGGACCGGCTCGGGGTGAGGACATACAGCAGTTGGTTCTTGGCACCTGGACTCTGTTTTTACATCAGCCAAGTGAGCCGCGTCCTGTAGGGTGAGGGGCCGTCTATCCTGTACCCACTTTTTCAGGCCCAGTTGCAAAGCTCCTAGAAAATGCTCCAGCAAAAACAGTTGCAGAACCTCTTATCCGGTTGTTGCTTGACACCCTTCCACCCAATGTATTGTGGTTCAGTGTAGTGTGCAGGCCCACTCTGAGTAGGAATCTCCTCCTTTCCGCTTGGACTCCCTAAACCATCGTCAGTATGCTTCGGGGGTGACGGCATACCAGAACAGTAAGGCTTCCTTCACAGCATAGTTTGTAGTCTCCTCGGTAGGGATGGCCCGAACAGCTTCATTAGCTTTAACCGATAATTCACCGGACAAAATTGAAACCCATTCCTATGGGGGTACTTGATGTAGCACACACTGCCGTTCAAAATCAGCCAAATATCCATCTTTCACCATCTGTCTCTTGGTAAGCTTTAAACGCTGCAAACGGCACCTTGTTCTGCTCACCGTGGTTTACAATCGGTAGCACCGTTGGACTTTCCAGGTTTTGTGCGGTCAGGACCTGTAGATGATAGGCCCTTTTCTCCCTCGTCTCCTCCATCGCAGCATTGAGGAGTTGGGTGACCAGCTCCGTAGTTGGATTCGTCCATAGAGTGCCAGCCTCCTTTGCACAACTCTCTGGATCTCGTCCTCCTCTCCGTTTGGCAGATTTGATTCGGCCATCGTGTTGGTTCGGTCCAATTTGACCAGTTAATCTATCAGCTCCCGTCGTGGTCGGTTGCTAGCTGAATGCCCACGGCTCTCCAGCAAATAGAAACATAGAAAAATAGAATGTGACGGCAGATAAGAACCATTCGGCCCATCTAGTCTGCCCAATTTTCTTCTTTTAAATATAGTCTCCTCCTTTACTGTATTGATTCCCTTTATATATTTAAATGTTTCTATCATATCCCCCCTGTCTCGTCTTTCCTCCAAGCTATACATGTTAAGATCCTTTAACCTTTCCTGGTAAGTTTTATCCCGCAATCCATGAACCAGTTTAGTAGCCCTTCTCTGAACCCTCTCTAAGGTATCAATATCCTTCTGAAGATACGGTCTCCATTACTGTGTACAATACTCCAAGTGAGGTCTCACCAGTGTTCTGTACAATGGCATGAGCACTTCCCTCTTTCTACTGTTAATACCTCTCCCTATACAACCAAGCATTCTGCTAGCATTTCCTGCTGCTCTATTACATTGTCTGCCTACCTTTAAGTCATCAGAAATAATCACCCCTAAATCCCTTTCCTCATATGTTGAGGTTAGGACTCTATCAAATATTCTGTACTCTGCCCTTGGGTTTTTACGTCCAAGATGCATTATCTTGCACTTATCCACATTAAATGTCAGTTGCCACAATTCTGACCATTTTTCTAGTTTACCTAAATCATTTGTCATTTGGCTTATCCCTCCTGGAACATCAACCCTGTTACATATCTTAGTATCATCAGCAAAAAGACATACCTTACCATCAAGACCTTCTGCAATATCACTAATAAAAATATTAAAGAGAATGGGTCCAAGTACAGATCCCTGAGGTACCCCACTGGTGACAAGTCCAAGCTTCGAATATATTCCATTAACTACAACCCTCTGTTGCCTGTCACTCAGCCACTGCCTTACCCATTCAACAATATTTGAATCCAAACTTAAAGATTGCAGTTTATTGATAAGCCTTCTATGTGCAACAGTGTCAAAAGCCTTATTGAAATCTAGGTAAGCAATGTCTACTGCACCACCCTGATCTATAATTTTAGTTACCCAATCAAAAAAATCAATAAGATTAGTTTGGCATGATCTCCCTGATCCTTCAGTGTCAGTCATTTCAGCTTCTCATACTGACTTTCCATTAGTGCAGTACCTCCTCTGGGAAGACAGGACCATCCCACTGCTGCCACCAAATGTAGCGGTTACCCCGGTGAGTAGAGGGGTTCCCACCGCTAGAGGGTTTCCTTCTCCCAATGAGTGAGGGGTATTCTCAGCATCCAGCAGTCACCCAAGTTGAGAAGCTCTTAAAAGAGCTAGTGTTATAGCTGTATAGCAGTTTCCCCCAATAAGAGACAAGACTCTAGATTGAGGGTGAAGTAGAACTGTTTTAATGAGCATACAAGCCTTTCTTTTATCAATTATCTCCAAGTGAAAAATATACTTTTTTACACAATTTTTATAACTTCAAAACTACACATGCAATTTCAATAGTTACAAAATTCAGACGAAATGGTCCAGTGGTTCGGGAGTTAGCTGAAAGTCTTATTTGACCGCACATTTTCATGGCCAAAGCAGTTCCACAGATTCAGGCTGTGCGGTCGGTCTTTCTTTCCCTTCAAATAAGGTACCAATTGCACGAACGGATCCGTTCGTGCCTACTGTCATTGGATGCGTCCAATGACAGTAGGTGTTTTGAAAAAGTATGTTTTTTCTGTGCTTGGAGATAATTGGATTATAATTAGTACAGTTCCTGATCCAATTATATCCCAGCTACAGAGGAAGGATTCTCTGATTTTGTATGGCAGTGTCCTGGACCTGAGAACCAATGTAATTGTGTATTTGTTCCTACTGTGGTTTACTCTCAGGAGTGCCCCTTGCATGGGGACATACATATAAGGCCAGTTGTGGCTACCATTAAAGTGTTCCAGCTTGCACTCCAAAACTGTATGTCATCCTGTGATTATAAGGAAGGAAGATTTAACCCCTATGTCTGCTGTTCCAACTTGCAGGGGATTCACCTGGGAAAGTCCTTGTAAGGACTAGAGCTCCCAGGACTGAGTGTCGTCCAGTGCCTGTGGGTGTCTAGAGTGAATTTGCCATTTGGTTCGGTTCCAGGGCCCCAGTCAAGCCACGGCGACTGTGGGCAGAAGTGCTGCAGTTTGTCCCCTGTTCCAGCTAGGAAGCGTTCTTTGGCGGATGTACCCAGCCTGTGATACAGGGAGCTCTGTTACAGTCATCATTCCAAAGTAAAATTGGACTTTAGCTGGCACAGCAGGTGGACTATTTTCTCTTCTTGGCTATCACCATTGCCATTTAGGAGTCATCTGGGTCCTGCCCACCATCTAGTAAAGAGTTCAGGCCAGTCAATAGATTGGTAGAAGGATGTCTCCGTATGTCCTTAAGCATGGGCGTAGGAACCAGGGGGAATGGGGGGACGCATCCCCCCCAGCAAATCATGTGGGGGGGACAGGTTATGGGGAAATCCCCTCCAGCTCCGCCGGCCCCCCCATGCTGCAGCCGCCCGAGCGCTCTGTAGAGAGCGCTATGAGGGCAGACCGCACCGCCCGGGCGCAGCCTGAGGAGAGGAGCTGACAGGAGGGAAGAGCTCCCTCTTGTCACTCCCTCCCTGTAGCATGGCCGAGCCCTGTGTGCACTTCCTGTTAGTCCGGCCGGGTACAGGAAACAAAAGCTACCTGTACCCGCGGACTATGATACAGGGCTCGGCCACGCTACAACTGAGGTGGGGGGGAAAGAGTGACAGGGGGGGAGGGGGGGAAAGAGTGACAATGTAAGCAGTGCCATTTCGTAAAAAGGCAGTATTTACATTACTGCTGAGGAATACCTCTAGTGGACACTCAGATGGCCACTAGAGGTGCTTCCTAGTCGAGACATGAATGCCGCCCTATGAAGTATCTGCTCATGTGCGGCAAAGCTGCGCATGTGCACCAGAGAGCAATGACGCTTCTGAATAGAAGCGTTTTATTGCTCCCTGCCCGCACCCTCCTATTTAATCATTTTGACGAAATAGGGGGCGCGGCATCAGGAGGATCCCGGCGCTGTATCCAGGTAAGTAAAATCCCTTCCCTGTAGTGACCCTTTAATGTTATTATTTAATCATTTCTATAGCAACTGCAAATTCCGTAGCGCCGTACAATGGGATAAACAACTCCTAGTTTACGGAATAAGAATATACCCGGCGAGTAAAAATGCTATCCCCCCCTGATTTTTTTGGGTTCCTATGCCCATGTCCTTAAGTATTTAATGGGGAGTCCGTCAGGACCCAGCACTTTGTTTAATTTTGATTTCTTCAAGATACCCTGCAGTTCCTCTAGTGACAGTGCTTCCAGTTCCTCCGATAGTTCAGGTGGCAGAGTTCAGCTCACATGTTGTGTTAAGAATCCTGTGATCTTGTAAGAATGTCGTTGGGTCTCAGCAGGCATGCAGTATTGGGGTCAGATTGTAAAGGCCTGTGTAAAAGTTGTGGAATACATTGATAATTTTATTCGGCAATTGAGTCACCGAGGAGCCTTGCATTTTTATTTTGGATATAATCGACAGAGACCCCTCTTTTACCGAGGGCCACCCACTAGGAGTCGACCTCATTTGTATGAGTATTCGTAGAAGTGAAGTTTTTTTTTATTATTATTTATTTTTGGTTTGCATAAAGAATACATTTATGTTGGTAATGCCACAACAGCAGATACCTGCAGTTCATAGTTAACAGTAGTATGGCATAGAATAAGACTGCACAATTTTTATAATAACCAGGCCATATATAACTGAAATCTGTAAGACAGGTAAACTAAGTAGTGACATGCTGCTTTGAAATAGAATTCAATTAGGTACCACTGGGCTTCATAAACTGAAAGATAAAAAAAATAATATAAGGAATAGAGAAAATAATATATAACGAGTAAACCAGTCACCACAGTGTTAAAATATAAACTGCTGTGTAGTTTAGAAACTGTGCTTCTGCCTGTGTTTATCCAATGCTGCAGTTAGGCCTTTCCACAGAGTCCATCTCAATTCTGGGTTTGTCTCCTTCCTCCGCTCCCTGTGGATAGCTCCAAGGTTGCTTGAGTACCTGTTGGCACATGAGGCCAACAGTGGAGCATGGTATCTGAAACCGCATGGTCAACTAAGATGGCTGCCACACTGAAGCCTCAACAAACCTGTGCAAGTCTGGAGGGCATGTCATGGCGGGAGGCCTTCGAGGCTAAGTTTGAGAGGATCTGTCAGCCTACCTCCCCTGTGGCTCTGGAGAGACAGGCAGCTGCAGAAGCTCATCGATCTCCTTCTGGGGGTCCTGCTGGAGCTGAAACATGCCCACTGTCCACATACCCTGAAGGGTTCTCGATTTATGGTACTCCCACGAGCCTACGAGCATACCTACCTATCCTCCCTCAGTTGATTTCCTAAAAACTTATGATTCAGGTGAGGGATCTGTAGAGATGGACTTTGATGCTCTGCCTTCCGATGGCAGGGGTTCAGAGGATGAGTTCATGAGTTTCGGATCAACAGCAAAAAACAAATGTGAGGAAGGCTGAACTTGATGGACGCAAGTCTCCTTTTCAGCTATGTAACTATAAGTGGATGCCCAGAATCTATGGCTTCTGCAATGACTACCTCTCCTATCATCCAGTTAATAGAAAAGCGGAATACTCTTAGGAAGAATATGGCAAAACATCCATATGGTGCCCCTAGTCTTCTAAAAGCCAGTGATGGTACTATCATGCCAATTAAAGAACTCAGCATTTATAAAAGTAATCTGGATGCTACGAGGGATGTGGAAGCTAATCCCCCTAAGAACTCCTCCAATGAAGTGTTAACCTACTCTTCCTCCCAACCAATAACCTTGGGTATATAAATACCTACTGTGAAAAAACATACTATACCTCTACATGCCTAACTCTCTTTTCTGTTCTCCCATCTTTACCTCCTTCTTTTGCTTGCTAAGTATGCCAATTGTGTAACTATGTCTAAAGTCTCCAATAAACTACCAAATGTTAACCCTGGCATAAGTATCTTACCTGACCTGCTCAAGACCATAACAGAGAGAGTGGACTTGCGCGCTCTAAGAATGCTATTTATCCAAGCAGCTGTGCGACTTGGCGCTTCTGTTCCTTCTTCCATTGCAGACTTTAATGATGTGGCCACTAATCACACTCTTGTGTTCCTCCCAGGTTGTTAGTGGTGACACTTATGAGGAGTCCTTCTCAGCCAAGTAATGAGTCAGGAATGTATGAATACCTTCGATAACATCTGACTCCTGCAAGATCCCTTATTCAGCTCCCATTGTCGATCTCTCAACCTGAACAGTGGGGAGCTTACTCATTTTAAGACAAGGGAGTGGTACAACCATGTTGTGGTCAGAATATCAGAAGACACCAACAGAGAGAGGTATTCCTGAGCTATGAATATATAGTCCAGGGAACTATATTATGTATGCAAGTAGTGATGTTGCGAACACAAAATTTTCGGTTTGCGAATGGCGAACGCGAACTTCCGCAAATGTTCGCAAACCGGCGAACCGGGTGAACCGCCATAGACTTCAATGGGCAGGCGAATTTTAAAACACACAGGGACTCTTTCTGGCCACAATAGTGATGGAAAAGTTGTTTCAAGGGGACTAACACCTGGACTGTGGCATGCCGGAGGGGGATCCATGGCAAAACTCCCATGGAAAATTACACAGTTGATACAGAGTCTGGTTTTAATCCATAAAGGGCAGAAATCACCTAACATTCCTAAATCACAATCAATATGGATTGACACCTGACATATGACATATTGACACCTTGACATATGGATTGACACCTGTCCTCAGAGTCCCTGATGCACACGGACACAGAGCAGAATAGAGACTGGTCCCCCTACATAGGGTCACTTGGCAGATATGGATTGACACCTGTCCTAAGGATCCCTGATACACACTGACACAGAGCAGAATAGGGAATGTTACCCCAACATAGGGTCACTTGGCAGATATGGATTGACACCTGTCCTAAGGATCCCTGATACACATTGACACAGAGCAGAATAGGGACTGTTCCCCCTACATCGGGTCACTTGGCAGATATGGATTGACACCTGTCCTAAGGTTCCCTGATACACACTGACACAGAGCAGAATAGGGACTGTTCCTCCTACATCACCCGATCATTCGACGAGGTCAGCGGTATGTGTAGCCAAATTCATGGAACTAAAATCGGCTACACATTTCCGCGAACACCGCTGAGCTCTACCTTCTCCCCTACTGGTTTTACAGCTGCAGAGACTAAGTCCCATTCAGCGATGGGACTTAGTCGTTTTTTCAGCCATTTTTTACTTGGCAAATATGGATTGACACATGTCCTCAGAGACCATGATACACACTGACACAGTGCAGAATAGGGACTGTTCCCCCTACATCGGGTCACTTGGCAGATATGGATTGACACCTGTCCTAGGGATCCCTGATACACACTGACACAGAGCAGAATAGGGACTGTTCCTCCTACATAGGGTCACTTGGCACATATGGATTGACACCTGTCCTCAGAGCCCCTGATACACACTGACACAGAGCAGAATAGGGACTGTTACCCCTACATAGGGTCACTTGGCAGATATGGATTGACACCTGTCCTCAGAGCCCCTGATACACACTGACACAGAGCAAAATAGGGACTGTTACCCCTACATAGGGTAACTTGGCAGATATGGCGTGGTCGTGGGAGGAGGAGGATGACTTTCACCTCTTCCCATGTTAGATTCCCGTTGTGCTATGACATCACCGTTATACGCTGTGTAAAGCATACTTTTTAATTTATTTTGCAAATGCTGCATCCTTTCCGACTTGTAATTCGGTCACATTTCCGCCACTGTCTGCTTATACCGGGGGTCTAGTAGCATGGACACCCAGCACAGGTCGTTCTCCTATAGCCTTTTTATACGAGGGTCCCTCAACAGGCACGACAGCATGAAAGACCCCATTTGCACAAGGTTGGATTCCGAGCTACTCATTTCCCATTCCTCCTCCTCACACAGAGCAGAATAGGGACTGTTCCCCCTACACTTGGCAGATATGGATTGACACCTGTCCTAAGGATCCTTGATACACACTGACACAGAGCAGAATAGGGACTGTTCCCCCTACATCGGGTCACTTGGCAGATATGGATTGACACCTGTCTTAGGGATTCCTGATACACACTGACACAGAGCAGAATAGGGACTGTTCCTCTTCATAGGGTCACTTGGCAGATATGGATTGACACCTGTCCTAAGGGTCCCTGATACACACTGACACAGAGCAGAATAGGGACTGTTACCCCTACATAGGGTCACCTGGCAGATATGGATTGACACCTGTCCTCAGAGACCATGATACACACTGACACAGAGCAGAATAGAGACTGTTCCCCCTACATAGGGTCACTTGGCAGATATGGATTGACACTGTCCACAAGGACAAGTTGCAGGCTTCCTGGCAGGGCCCATACAAGGTGGTAGAGCAGGTTTGTGATACCACCTTTGTGATCGGTGTGGTCACAGGCACGGGAGGCAAGCGCATGCTCCATGTGAACATGCTCAAGCCATACCACGAGCGCACGGAAGAGGTAACCGCGATCTGTGCACCTGCCACTGAAGATTATGATAATTTGCCACTCCCAGATCTCCTAGACCTAGAGGGCCAGAGCGGAGACCTGGGAGAAGTACAGTTAGGAGAACGGTTAGACCCCCAGGAGCGAACCCAGGTCCAAAGACTAATCCAGGACAAGGGGGCCACGTTTTCCAACCTACCTGGGTACAGTCCGTTAACCACTCACAAAGTTGAAACCCTAGACCAGACCCCCCTTCGCCAAACCGCCTATCGCATACCCGAAGCAGTTAAAGAAAATATTCAGAAAGAAATTGAGGAAATGATGCAGTTAGGGGTGATAGAACACTCTGACAGCCCCTGGGCCTCCCCGGTAGTACTAGTACCGAAACGGGACGGCACGACCCGTTTCTGTGTAGACTACCAGAGGCTAAACGATAAAACAACCTCAGACGCCTCGTCTATGCCCCGGATAGACGAGCTCCTAGACAAAATGGCCAGAGCCAGTACCTCACCACAATAGATCTGTGCAAGGGGTACTGGCAAATTCCATTAGCCGAGGAAGCCATCCACAAGTCGGCATTTGTCACCTCGTTTGGCCTGTATCAGTTTATCTAAGCCGGAAACCTTTGCCCAGGGAAGTAGATACACTGCCATTGAAAAGGAGTGCCTGGCGGTGGTGTGGGCCCTCAAAAAGCTGCAACCTTACTTGTATGGACAACCGTTTACCTTACTCACAGATCACAACAAATTTGGGGCACTGGGCATGCAATCTAATGTGCCACCAGATAGGAGTGGTGTGTTAAGTAGTACTATTCTTATCAGTTTAATCCCTGTTACGTCCCCTATCCGTTGATGTGGAGCAAGACGCAGCAGCAGAAGAGGACTCAGCCGAGGAGGTTATGGAAGAGGATGGAGTAGGAGGAGTAGAAGAGGTGGCAGCAGGCCTGCCTGCAAGTCATGGCGGTGTCACCAACTCCTCTGCAGAGCCACGCATTCCATACTTGGCAGCCGTCAGCAGGTTTGCCCAATGCGCAGTGTAGGTGATATAACTGCCCTGACCATGCTTTGCAGACCAGGTATCAGAGGTCAGATGGACCCTTGCCCCAACACTGTGTGCCAGACATGCCATTATTTCCTTTTGCACAATCGAGTACAGGTTGGGGATTGCCTTTTGTGAAAATAAATGTTGTCTGTCTACCAGTGAGTGAGTGGTGGCACTGGGCACAGTACCCACTGTGAGCCTGACACACCCGCTGGCAGACAACTAACTGCTATTCAATCTATAACAGTGAAAAAAGTTTTTTGTTTTTAAATGCAAGCTATTATGACACCAGATATGAGTGGCACTGTAAACTGGCAGAGTACACGCTGTAGGGCTGACACACCCGCTTTGAGACTACTAACTGCTATTCAATCTATGACAGTGAAAAAAGATTTTTGGTTTTTAAATGCACGCTATTGTGACACCAGATATGAGTGGCACTGTAAACTGGCAGAGTACATGCTGTAGGGCTGACACACCCGCTTTGAGACAACTAACTGCTATTCAATCTATAACAGTGAAAAAAGTTTTTTGGTTTTAAATGCACGCTATTGTGACACCAGATATGAGTGGCAAAGTACACAGGCAGAGGTCTGCAGAGCACACACTGAAGGAGGCCTGACACCCGCTTTAAGGACAGTGACTGCTATTAGCTTACACTGAAAAACTTTTTTTCTTTGTAAAAGCACGCTATAGAGACACCAAATATGAGTGGCAAAGTAGACGGGCAAAGGTCTGCAGAGCACACGCTGAAGGAGGCCTGACACCCGCTTTAAGGACACTGACTGCTATTAGCTTACACTGAAAAACTTTTTTTCTTTGTAAAAGCATGCTATAGAGACACCAGATATGAGTGGCAAAGTACACGGGCAGAGGTCTGCAGAGCACACGCTGAAGGAGGCCTGACACCCGCTTTAAGGACACTGACTGCTATTAGCTTACACTGAAAAACTTTTTTCTTTGTAAAAGCACGCTATAGAGACACCAGATATGAGTGGCAAAGTACACGGGCAAAGGTCTGCAGAGCACACGCTGAAGGAGGCCTGACACCTGCTTTAAGGACACTGACTGCTATTAGCTTACACTGAAAACTTTTTTTCTTTGTAAAAGCACGCTATAGAGACACCAGATATGAGTGGCAAAGTACACGGGCAAAGGTCTGCAGAGCACACGCTGAAGGAGGCCTGACACCCGCTTTAAGGACACTGACTGCTATTAGCTTACACTGAAAAACTTTTTTTCTTTGTAAAAGCACGCTATAGAGACACCAGATATGAGTGGCAAAGTACACGGGCAAAGGTCTGCAGAGCACACGCTGAAGGAGGCCTGACACCCTTTAAGGACACTGACTGCTATTAGTTTACACTGAAAACTTTTTCTTTGTAAAAGCACGCTTACAGAGATACCAGATATGAGTGGCAATGTGCACTGGCACAGTTGTGCAGAGCACAGGCTGTAGGCCTGACACAGCCGCTTGAAGGACACTGACTGGCTGCTATTAGCTTACACAGGAAACCTTTTTTCTTTGTAAAAGCACGCTACAGAGACACCAGATATGAGTGGCAACTGTCAAAGTACACTGGCACAGTTGTGCAGAGCACAGGCTGTAGGCCTGACACAGCCGCTTGAAGGACACTGAGTGGCTGCTATTAGCTTACACTGGAAACCTTTTTTCTTTGTAAAAGCACGCTACAGAGACACCAGATATGAGTGGCAACTGTCAAAGTACACTGGCACAGTTCTGCAGAGCACAGGCTGTAGGCCTGACACAGCCGCTCGAAGGACACTGACTGGCTGCTATTAGCTTACACTGAAAAACTTTTTTTCTTTGTAAAAGCACGCTATAGAGACACCAGATATGAGTGGCAAAGTACACGGGCAAAGGTCTGCAGAGCACACGCTGAAGGAGGCCTGACACCCGCTTTAAGGACACTGACTGCTATTAGCTTACACGAAAAACTTTTTTTCTTTGTAAAAGCACGCTATAGAGACACCAGATATGAGTGGCAAAGTACACGGCAAAGGTCTGCAGAGCACACGCTGAAGGAGGCCTGACACCCGCTTTAAGGACACTGACTGCTATTAGCTTACACTGAAAAACTTTTTCTTTGTAAAAGCACGCTATAGAGACACCAGATATGAGTGGCAAAGTACACGGGCAAAGGTCTGCAGAGCACACGCTGAAGGAGGCCTGACACCCGCTTTAAGGACACTCACTGCTATTGGCTTACACTGAAAAACTTTTTTTCTTTGTAAAAGCACGCTATAGAGACACCAGATATGAGTGGCAAAGTACACGGGCAGAGGTCTGCAGAGCACACGCTGAAGGAGGCCTGACATCCGCTTTAAGGACACTGACTGCTATTAGCTTACACTGAAAAACTTTTTTCTTTGTAAAAGCACGCTATAGAGACACCAGATATGAGTGGCAAAGTACACGGGCAGAGGTCTGCAGAGCACACGCTGAAGGAGGCCTGACACCCAGACGCTTGCAGACAACTAACTGCTATTCAATCTATTACAGTGAAAAAAAAATGTTTTCTTTTTAAATGTCAAGCTTAAGCTATTGTGACACCAGATATGAGTCGTGGCACTGGGCAAATGGGCACAGTATCCACTGTGAGCCTGACACACCCACTTTAAGGACACTGACTGCTATTCAATCTATAACAGTGAAAAAAGTTTTTTGTTTTTAAATGGAAGCTATTGTGACACCAGATATGAGTGGTGGCACTGGGCACCGTATCCACTGTGAGCTTAACACACCCGCTTTAAGGACACTGACTGCTATTCAATCTATAACAGTGAAAAAAGTTTTTTGTTTTTAAATGCAAGCTACTGTGACACCAGATATGAGTGGTGGCACTGACTGGGCAAATGGGCACAGTATCCACTGTGAGCCTGACACAGAAGCTGTCAGCAGTGGCAGACAACTAACTGCTATTCAATCTATAACAGTGAAAAACTTTTTTTGTTTTTAAATGCAAGCTATTGTGACACCAGTGAGTGAGTGGTGGCACTGGGCACCGTATCCACTGTGAGCCTGACACACCCGCTTTAAGGACACTGACTGCTATTCAGTCTATAACAGTGAAAAAAGTTTTTTGTTTTTAAATGCAAGCTATTGTTACACCAGTGAGTGAGTGGTGGCACTGGGCACCGTATCCACTGTGAGCCTGACACACCCGCTTTAAGGACACTGACTGCTATTCAATCTATAACAGTGAAAAAAGTTTTTTGTTTTTAAATGCAAGCTATTGTGACACCAGATATGAGTGGTGGCACTGACTGGACAAATGGGCACAGTATCCACTGTGAGCCTGACACAGAAACTGGCAGCAGTGGCAGACAACTAACTGCTATTCAATCTATAACAGTGAAAAAAGTTTTTTGTTTTTAAATGCAAGCTATTGTGACACCAGATATGAGTTGTGGCACATACTGGGCAAATGGGCACAGTATCCACTGTGAGCCTGACACAGAAGCTGGCAGCAGTGGCAGACAACTATCTGCAATTACATTACACAGAAAAAAAAAAAGCAGACTGATATTCTAGCCCTAAAAAGGGCTTTTTGGGGTGCTGTCCTTACAGCAGAGATCAGATGAGTCCTTCAGGACTGTAGTGGACACTGTATACCCTAACCTAGCTATGCATTTCCCTATCTAATCAACAGCAGCTACACTTTCCCTCCTCTCACTAAGCATGCAGCTTCAGAATGAATCTAAAATGGATGCTGTCCAGTAGGTGGGAGGGTCTACTAGGGAGGGTGTGCTGCTAATTGGCTGGAATGTGTCTGCTGACTGTGAGGTACAGGGTCAAAGTTTACTCAATGATGACGAATAGGGGGCGGATCGAACCGCGCATGTGTTCGACGTCCGCGGCGGACGCGAACACACTATGTTCGCCAGGAACTGTTCACCAGCGAACCGTTCGGTGCATCACTAATCTCCATGGAGATCGGAAGCTAAGTAAAGTAAATATCCTCCGTGTATAGTTAGATTACAGTGTCAAGTTCATACAATCATATAATCTGATGAATAATTAATAGGAGTGAGTGTGACTAGGCTTAAAAAACATAAAAGGTATAAAAGACATATGGAGGGCTAGTAATTAATGAGCGAACTGTCCATAGAGGAACGCTAGGAATCTGCCAGGAGATAGGGGGGTGATGCAAACAACACGCAAATAAGTGTGACGTATGTGAAAGGAAAATAACGTGAAACAAAGTGAATACAAACCCTATCACCCCCTATCTCCTGGCAGACTCCTAGCATTCCTCTATAGACAGTTCGCTCATTAATTACTAGCCATACATATGTTTTTTATGTTTTTTTTAATCTCGTAAAAGCAGGCGTTAGGTTACTAGTATAGGACTTGCCAAAATGGTATACATTTGCACTGTGGCAGGCTTATGCGTTGTATGATCATACCCTGTGAATAAACCCCATTATTTATTTTTTTCTTGTGTTTAACCCCTCCCCCCCTCCAAAAAAAATATTGCATTTTGTGAGATTTTAAGTTTGTTTAATTGAGTGAGTGTGCTGGATGAGAGGGGGAGAGAGAGCAAGAGAGAGAGAGCAGCACATTTACATCCACATTTAACAAATTCGATGTAAAATGTACTTTTAAGTAAGGGAATACAAACTAAGTAACTCATTATAGAGAATATCAAGGCTATCAGTTATCACTTACATGGTCTTGGTTTGTATATGGAATTTTATGTTTCCTCTCGCATTAACCTTTTAGAATATTCTATGTTAAATTTGCATGAAATGATAAATTGATTCACATTTCTGCAAGATTAGCAACCTCATTAAATCAATATCACATACAAACAGGAGTGGAATGTAGCCAGGGCTTGAGTCCTGCAGGAATGCGTGGGAATGGCGTTTCTTCACTTTTTCCACAGCTGGAACGACATTCCCGTTAGTAGTCCTGCAGGACCTGCCTTTGGGTTGTCCTGGCCCGCAAGAGACATGTTCAGATT